GAAAACTGCGAAAAAGGGCTCTAACACAAGAGGGAAATCAGTAGGTGGGCGAGGCTTTCACCAGTGCGATTTCACGCTCCCAGCTCCCGGAGCGATTTTCTCGAACCCGCTAGCCGTCCTGACATCGCTACCGGTCAAGTGCGAATGATTGACTTGAAACCGGAAGCGAGAAGGTCGCTCCAGAAGCCGGGAACGTGAATTCGCAGTGAGGAGGACCCCGCCCACCTGCTCATTTCCCTCCTGTGTTAGAGCCGTTTTTCGCCATTTTCGCGCTCTACAATGTGCATTTTCGGACTCAGCGTAGCGAATAGGCCCAAGTAAGCACAAAATCTCAAGATCGAGTTTTTGCCCGGACACTGCCTTCAAGAGCTGCGGCTGCCGCAGCTTTTAAGGGGGCGTGCCGCACCTTCTTAACTTGCCTTCAAAATCCAGAAAGCACTCCATTGCTGGTATGAGTATTGAGCACATAGCTTCTTCTTGCTAAATTGGAAATTTGGAGCCGAACGCCCCACCCATAAGAAAATTATGGCCCTTTCAATATGCCCATTCAGATCAAAATCAGCCGTCAAATTACGTGTGATTGTAAAGTGCAGTCACAGAAAATCGGGCGTACAGCTCTCAGAAATCTGAAAACTCTCTAGAAAATGATGGTGTCCTCCAGAATGTCACACTTTGAGGTCCAGATTTTAAGAGGAGGAAGAAGGGGTCGTTTGAGGGCTTTCATGGGAGGGGGGGGGGAGTTTCGAAAGACTTGTGCCTGACCTCTTTCTCAACTCTGGTAATGCTATCTTAGGTATATAGTTCAGGGGGGGGGGGGCGTCTTATTGAGACAGCAATCAGGGGGGGGGGGGTCGTAAACAGCGATCGTGTGCCACACCCCTTGCTTGACCCTGGTAATAACTTTCCCAGTTGACCTCGTGAGCGCCAGATTGAGTGATTGTCTTGGAATAGATGTAGGGTGTTGTCCATGATTTATACTTGGTGGAGAGATGGCCTTTCAGAGAATCTTGAATGATCATTCGGGCATGTTGCATAGTTTTTCTTAAAATAGAAACTGGGCAATTCTGACGTTTCTTAACTTCTTGACTCTTTCAAAGATTTCAGCTTGGCGATCCTCATTCAGTCCATGCATTGATCGTCCGATGAAAATGAGCGTAATCGCAGCTGCTCGTCCAGTAGAAATAAAGCTCGAAATTTTTGTTAGATCCAACAACGGCTCACGCAGATCCTCTTCCTGATGTGGCATCGCTTTTTTGACCATTAAAGCAGCTATGGAATCCCCAAAAATTGGTTGTCCATCGGAAACTTTTTCAGTTATTTCCTTTTCCAACTGATCTTGCACTGTCCGATCATGCGCTTCTAGAAAGTTTAGATTCAATTACAGTCTGTATAGGATACCAACAAGCCGTTTGTTCGCTATGGCTCTATTATCCGGTAGTTGGGTGTGGTTCTCCTTGAGCGGTAATCGTGCATAATAAACGCCGTTGCGTATCCGTTTGTATCTTCAAGAAATCTGGCAACTTTTGCGTTGTTAGCCTCCTTCTCTGCATCCTTTGTACCAGTGAACTCACATATGCTAGCTGAGTCCATGGTCCAGTGCTTGTCCCAACGATCTCTGTCGTCCTCAAAAACTGCTTCGATGTTCGCGATTTCCTGGACCATTGCCACTGATGTGTCAGACACTCCCAGTATCCTTTCCGACACATCTATTGGTCTCTGTTGCTTTTCTGTAAGCAAATATCCGAACTTTGAAGGTAACGTCTTTGCGTTTCTGCGTTCAAGACTCTTCCTTAAAGATTCCATTTGAATTGTGACAGTTTCGGCACAATCAATCGCCGCCTGAGCCTTTTCCAAATAATCTTGTACCTCCTGCTCTTGCTCCTCTGTCAGCTCACTCATAGAATCCACAACCTCCGCAAATTTCCACAGGCTTGTCGAAGTTAACTTTGTCATTTCTTCCAACTCTATCGCTTTGCTTTTTATGCCGTCTTCCTCTTCATCATAAAAGTTCTCCTTTGCCGCCTCACATTCTTCTGCCAAAACCTTGAGTTTACGGCAATGCCGTGTCAGTAGCGCTTTCGCTACTGCTAATCCAATACTTCCGATCATTCGGTAAAGCTGCCTAATTGCTGCGACTTCTTGCTCCCGTGTTCCTGCGTGATATATCTGTTCTCAAGATCCTGTTCCAGAATCGAACTTCTTTTTCCAGTGTCTTTTGTGAGATAATCAAAGTAAGAAAAAAACCCACGCTGGTATATGGCAACTGATCCTTGTCCTGGTCCTTTCTTGGCGACGCCGATGCACCATAAAGTGGTGGTTCAGTGTGCCGATTATCCTGCGCCAGCCGTCCAAACTGTCGTGCCCAAACACCAGCGTCGAATGACTGCTTTATTGGCGGCGAAGTCACAATAAGAATGATCATTACCCAGAAAGGGCAATGAGTAAAGCATACGTCAACAAACATTGAAACTACATACAGGGTTTTTCAACCTGAGAGGCGCAAGTTTCTCTTGCGCGGCTCCTCCAACGCGGCCGCCTCGCTCAGGCCGCGCGCGGCGTTTGCTGCGTATCGCCCGGATTTCGCCAAGCTTCAGTCGAAGCGCAGCCAGCGCCACGAACGCTGCGCGGACCTAAGCGTGGCGTCCTAGCGGGGCGAGTGGGACACTCAGGTTGTAAAGCCCTGTAAACACATTTCTACGCTACAGCAATGTCTGCTGGTTTCTCTTGATCACGATCCGGGTTATTTATTATGCTGAACACAGATATAATGTTTATTTCGTGCGACAGCGCCACTGGAGTTACGGTAGGATTACGATAAACGGTCAAAATCACGAATTTGCCCGAAACTTGGCCTAGGGGGTTATTCGGCCCGCTGATGCCAAATGACACATTGGTTTTGGACTGTAGTGTCATTTTCTCGGGTTACGGTAGCTACACGGTAACGGGTTTAAGACGTAGTTCTGCCTAAAACGGGTGTACGGTGATTGGGACGATCGTGAAGCTTTGCTCACACGACCAACGCCACAAGCTATACATTCTGCTGCGGCTTTTGCCTAAGCAAAGCACAGAGGAAGGATACATTTGCCGATTTGTGATTTTGACCTCTACCGTAAACCTACCGTAATTCGAGAAAATGACGCTACGGTACAAAACAATGTGATATTCAGCATCAGCGGGCCGAATAACACCTCGGGGCCAAGTTGCGGACAAATCCGTGATTTTGACTCCCTACCGTAATTCTACCGTAATTCCACCGGATGGCGCTGTTGCACGTAATAAACGTCATATTCGTGTTCAGCATGCCAAGTAACCCTTCTAGACGAAGTTTCAGGCAGATCCGTGGTTTTGACGTCGTACCGTCATCCTATCGTAACTCCACCGGATGGCGCTTTCGCACGAAATCAACATCATATTCTTGTTCAGCGTACCAAATAACCTCCTAATAAATAGACGAAGTTTTAGCGAAATTCACGATTTTCATTTTTTTGGGTCAACTAATGTGGAATAGCGCCGAACCATCAACGTGGCTGCCTTTCGATCATTTTAATTAACTCCAGCAAATTCAAAGCGCTTATTCGAAGCTGACATGTTAAAATGACCGAAAGAGAGCCGTTGGTTCATATGGGAGTATATCAAAATGAGAGCGGGAATAGGACGAGATAGGCCAAAAAATCTCAAAATCGAGTTTTTCCCGGGCATTACCTTTGATGTCTCTAAACCAGTGGTGAACAAAAATTTGTTCCGGTCCTTATCCGCTGATGTTGATGTGAATCTAGTACAGAAGGTCTTAGCCGAGTTCTATATGTCTAACCTCATTACCCGTAATTCAGCAACAATGGCTCGCTTTGAGCGAATATTTGGCCGCTATCCTGTTCTGTTGTGTACAAAAGCCATCCCTAGATATCAAAATGTTCCAGCAAAACCCTTATGTGGAAGAGATCAATCACCATGCGCATGCAAAGGTGACAATCAGCTTTGAAGCAACAGTACAGATGTCCATTAAATCCAGTGGTGTGTCGTTTAGTTGATTCTAGCTAACGCATCTTCATGTATGGTTTTCTTTTGTTCTTCGATAGCTGTCATTTGTAAATTAATTCTTTGTGTATGAAGTAATCTCTATCTTTTTCCATCTCAATTCTTGGCGCTGACTCACGTTTTCGCTTCTTCAAAACCAAAAATTTTGGCTTGCATGTATCTCATTGATTGCATCTTTGTATAGATATGCACTGATTTGATTCTTTACAAATAAGTTGGGATTTTCTTGTTTTTTTTCCTCGTGTTTGCTGTTCTATTACTATGAATAAGTAGTATAGTGTTCAGTAGTGTTCCTTTCAACAACAAAAAAAACAAGTTTTGAGTGGGCATTCAGTGTGTAGAGCTATTGAGCGGGGTTTAGGGACTATGGGATTTAGAGGTTAATCAGAGCCAGTTACAGAGTATGCCAGATAGACTTTCGAGACTTCCTGGGCACAAACTTCGGTAGGATCCGAGGCGCGAATCCGGTACTCGCCGCCGGGGGAACTCCGGACGGTATTAACCGAACTGGCCCACCTGGATCCGGTCCGTTATCTGAGCTTGACCGGCGGCAATGTTGACGCGGTTAGCGAAATGAGAAGAAACTCCTGAAGCTGGAAAAGCGACTTCACGGAGAGGAAGGCCCCGCCCACCCGCTGTTTCCTCTCCCGCGTTAGAGCCTTTTTCGCCGTTTTCGCGCTCTCCAATTTAAATTTTCAGATTCAGAATAGGAGTTAAGCACAAAGTCTCAAAATCGACCACTTATCCGGACACTGCCTTTGAAGTAGGTTCCTTCACCACATATCTCGCTAACTTCACGTGCACTATTCTCATCTTGTAAGTAAATTTTCTGATCTGTCATGGTAAGGGGTCCCCGGTTCCCAGGTCTAAAGTGAAGGGAAAGTGAGCCTTGGCTTACCGTTCGCACCTATAATATAATAGGGAAAGAACAATTGTCATTCTATAGGATGAAGTCATCCCTTTAGGGACGGTATACTGATGAGTGTTGTACGGCGGAATGATCAGGAGTTACTCAAACATGACTCGATGAAAAGTCCAGATGGCTCTGGATTGAATGTGTATTTCTTGGGATTTGATTCGCTTAGTCAAATGTCTTTCCGACGAAAATTGCCAAAATCTGTCAAAGTTCTCGAGGAAGTGCTCGACGCGGTGGTTTTGAACGGTTACTATCCGTTTTATTGTTATGGATAATCTTCCTCATTCTTTTGGAATTCTTAGCAAAAGCATAGCTTATTTTATTCTTTCACGCTCAAGGGTACAATATTGTTGGTGATGGCACACCTCAAGCATTTATTCCAATTCTTACCGCATCGACTGAAGAAGAACTTCCCCTAACAAGGTGCGTTTTTGCAGTTCTGTTTTTGTCACTTGTTTTACTTATAGCTATTTATAAAGTGGTAACAACGGATTTGACTGCGGTCTTTGCGCCCCCAGGAGCATGAAACACTTAAAACGCACCTCAGTGCTCAGCTCAGTCACTTCTACTGTCTAGACACTATCAAACGCAAGCAGAAAAGGCACTTGAGTAGGGATGAAAACTAAGATACCGGAAGCGCTGTCGCGCCATCGTCATGATGTTTTAGTAAGTTTCAACTCAGTCTAGGCGGAAATTGGATATGGGAGTTCGCTTCGCAACGATTCGCGCCGTTTTGCAGTCTGCGTCTCTTTATTCTAATTTATCTCGCTGAGCCACTGCCGGTGCGGACGCGCTACTCCACTTGGAATGTCTCGCCTACTCCGAATTGAAAAAGAGTGTACAGAGTCGGCCGCGCGGGCGGTTCGCGCGCGGCAGCCTACACGGCGCAGGGCGCGCAATCCCTCCTAGCGATGCGATGCTGTATTTGATAGACTTTCATCGGAGTGAAATTGCTAATAAGGGCTTTTACGCCATTATAACCTGCAGAACGAACAAATGTAGTGCTAGCGGAGGCTGGAACTTTCTACTGTGTACGCTAGGCCGCCTTATTCTATGATCAGGCTGAATGAATGCCTTGTTCGTTTTGCCAGCCATGCTTTTTTGCCTAGGTAGGGACCAAACAAGATTTCAGACATAATGTTATTGATCTTATTGTTAGCTTCTTAAACCTTTAGCTCCTTCTTGTAACATGGCGTTACTCCATAATTCAAGAAAGTTCAGTAACAAACTCATACCAGAAAGATTGAACTCCAAAAAGCACTATAGTTAACTGTTAACAATCTCGTTATTTTGGTCATTCCTACAACGACAGCCGTCTGAAGCAAGCATAATAGTGAGCAATTTGTTAGCCATGCACTTTGACTCGCTTATGGTCTCGTAGAGCAGGGACTTCAGTAGATGAAGAATTTCGCTTTCTTCGATCGTGAGTCAACCTCTCAGATGCGTCACTGACCAATACCGCGCAATACATGGCGTCTCCTCTAATCAAACTCTTAGTCGATCTTAACGGATGTTCAAAGGACGAATTCACGTTAGAGATCACTGAATGCATATAAACCTGCATAGAGCTTCACGCTACTGTAGAATGCTGTAAACATAGCTGAACAAACAGATTTGGTGGTGATTGTAGGTGTTGGCATTGCTGCAAAAATCTTCTGTCAGCGTCGAGGCGCACATCTTACGGGTGGTCAGTGGAACAGTATCCACCATAAGTTCCCGCCATAAAGTATCATGCTCGTTTTGGCCATTATGCTTTGGTGATGGTAAACTCAGTGGGTGTTCGTACAAATCGCAGCGCAACATACTTGATAGGCAATCTAAATGGACAGTAGAGACTAATATTTACCCTTGGCTAAGTTACTTTACAAAAAACAAGTCGAAACATTGATGTGGGATACATAATCTGCGACTTATTGTATCGCCTGCATCTGAAACATGAGGCCAACCACAAGCCTTGCAATGTAACCTTTAATTCAACTGGCTTGGCTTCGGGAATGCGGGGTGTCGCGGGTTGGGGTCCCAGCCCCTAACGTCAGTATTAAGTGCTCTCCTGCATCGGCGAGGGGAGCTGAGGATTCCATCCGTGAATGAAGTACCGACAAGTGAGGAAAGGTAGCTTGCGCCACTTTCTTATGGCCTGCCAAACACGGATACATTAGCATCTTACAAGGGAAGGATACCAGATCGCAGCGGCGAACCGAAATGATATGCATATCATTAGATGCGTCTTGATGAGCTGATTCCAAATCTACCTTTTTTATCTGCTACGAGCTTCTCTAGGAAAAGCTATGGGCGTTTAAAGGTGTGAAGTTAATGGGATTTTGATGCGAATGTGCTTCAAAAATTAGCTTAAGAGTGATTAATTGGCATAGTTCTGGGTGCATTGACTACAAGGAATGCATACAAACACCGAACACAAAAATAAGTGCTTCTGAACAAATAGTTTTTGAAGATGTGGCACTGAATGCTTGTCAAATTTGGACATTTGAACGCTCATAACTTCTTCCAGAAAAGAGCATAGCAGATTTGAAAGTTAGACTTGGAATCAGCTCATCAAGTCGCGTCTAGTGATATGCATATCATTTCAATTCTCCACTGCGATCTGGTATCCTTTCCTTGTTAGAGGCGCTAGGCTACCAACCTGCCCCCTAACCTCAACTGCCAGCTGTCTCAAGCTGTTCCGCCCACTGTTGGCAATTGTGGATCACTAGTACCTGGCATTAGCAGGCTTCATGCCTGTCCTCCTACTGATGGAACCTTCCAGGACATTAACACGTCAGGAACACCCAATGAACATGGATAGCATACCGATATTCCTGAGGCAAGGCCTAAGCCGTAAGGTCAACACTCGAATCAAACACTAGGACTCTTAAATGCCCACCATTTATTTAGAAATGCAACCAACACACAAACAACTTAATACAAAGGAAGAGAGCATGCCGGCCAAGATGTCCTAGGAGCCGGTAGAAAGAAAAGCCCCGAGGACATGCTTCCCTGCCCTGCGGCAAGCAAAGAGCACACAACCGGTTACCTCGAGGTGACGCGCCACTCCTCTTTGCGTGGTAATGGTCTTCGCGTGAGTTGAGGAACGGCGCACTGCTTGATCGATCGATAGTTGGAGTGAGTTGATGCCGACCGCTCGCGAGTAGACACATGTGACGTACGTGACTTTATGAAGGTAAGTTGCGGCATAAGCAGCGAGCGAGAGGGCGGGGATGCGCGCGAGGACTGGCGTTTTGGGACCCCTTCGCGCACGAGAAGCGGACTCCTTGAAGAAGTCGCGCAATCCGCAACACGGGGCTTTGTGACCTGACTAAGGCCGCTCGTACCCGCGACGCACCTGCGTCTCTCTCGCGCGAGTGCTCTCTGACCAATACCTAGTCTTAATTAGGTCACGAGGCCGGAACCAAGCCAGTTGAATCAAATGGTAGAACATTCAAAACATTCAAAACGCACTCCTCATTATCACTAGGAAAGAGTATCAAATTTCAGTATCCTTGACCTGCTGATATAAAAATTCTATTGTTTTGATTAACCAGATAAACATGACAGCAAGACTAGCTGTTGATAAGTAACAGAAGCCTAGGTTGCATCCGTAGAGAGGAAGCGTGCCCCTGCGCTAGGCTTCCGCGCGCGAACCGCCCGCGCAGCCGACTCTGTAGATTTGAAAGCACCGTCCACTCAAATTCTCGAATTCGATGTTTTGTTCGCTTACAGGCCTTCTGAAGGGCCTGATCTCGAATATGGAGTCGGAAAATCACGAAACCCCCCAAAAATCCGGGTGTATCTCATTACTTGTGACTGTCAATTACGCAGGTGCCGCGCGCGACAGGCTGGCAGTAATCAATCCCGAGGAGACCTTGAGTAACCGACTCGCAAGGCATACTATTCCATCTTTGTAAATGTATTCACACTACCATATCAAATTTTACTGTTCAATGGAAGTTTGGCCCCAAATCTTGTAAAAAAGAAATGAATAGTGAATGGAATTGTAGAAATTACCATTTTGATGACAATTTATGATAGATTAAGATCAATCATCGACACTCGTATCTCGGATGCCTTTATTTCTCAAGACATTGCTTCTTTGAACAAAGTGTTACCTGCTTGTGGGGAGTTTGAAAGAAGTCGTTCAATAGTGATTTGCTGGTGTTGTCGAAAGCAGAAATTTGAAATGCAGTGCTAGGGTTACGCATGATTATTTGTGTGTTGAGCAGATATTCGACTACTTAGGTATTGATAGTATTGTTTGTATTGTTTTTTTTTTGAAAATCACCTTGAAAACTGTACTTCATAAGGAAGTTTGAGGAGATACATAGCGTATTGTAAAAAGTTTTTCAAAGATGCACAGCAGTGCGAGAAGCAGCAAAGTCTCGAACTCGAACTTGTTTTTATATTTAGAGAAAAAATTTTTAGAAGCGCCAGAACGACGGCGAAATCTTCAGCACAAACTTGCAGAGCACAGCGTTTTCTCTTAGTTGACAAGTGCACATCTTCAATCAAGCTAGAGTCAAGAACAGCTAATCTTTTTGACCAGTGTCTGTTATACAAAAACACTTTGTAGGTAGGGAGATCGATTTGCTGTAGCTTAGATTAACGATAGCTGACAATTGGTCAAAAAAAAAACAATATCCACAGCATGTTCATTCGTTGCAGTAAGACTAACTTACTTATCTGACTTCCAAAAGTCGAAACCGCTCAACTTGAAGTAAATTCTACGGAAATTTAACTATCTCGCAGTCTCAATATGGAACTACACAATTAGTCTGAATGAATGGTGGAGCGACTCTAACGCTATAGAGATGTTTGTGCTTATCACACGATACCACTATTTCATGCGTGATATTTCTCTAGGTTTGTTATGTTCATCGGAATTTTCTTGGAAAAGATCCATTATCTCGCAGGATTTTTTTTCGAATTCTTCGTAAATGAGATTTCATTATCTATCAAGAAGAGTTGCATCAATGAGGTTGTTTTTCGATGAAAAGGACTCTTTTATTATTACTGTTTTCTATATTATTGTTTTCTATAGTGTGAGATAGAGCCAATTAGTGTGAAAACTGTAGGAGAATTTGACAAAGTAATTCAATGCGAAAGTGTTGAGTTGAGATGAAGTTTTTTCGTAATGTAAAAAGTTTGTTGCGAATGTATTCAAATCTTGAAAATATTGTGCAATTCTTTTCAGTGATAGATTTTAAAAACTATGCATTGCAATAGCATCGTAGGATCATAAAAACTTCTAAAATATCGCTGATTCTTGTGGCGTCCGCAATTTATTATCAAATGAAACGCGTGCAGTCATCAGAAAAGATCAATCAAACCATTCGCAATACGTTACATCAACTACTTTTCTTATGTTTGCGCTTACGTGAAGCAACTTGATGAAGATGCGTTTATTGACAAGCAAGCTCTTAACAAAGTAAGCTTAATCTCGAAGGATGTTGGCATATTTTAGCTTCACTGGACTATGTTTAGTGACACTCATTTTGTAAGGTAGATCTGCCTATGCGGTGAGGTACAATACCGCTCACATTTTTTGAAAAATAGACGCGAATGTATGGACATGTATGGACATGTACGGACATGTCCATACATGTATGGACATGCACGGACATTGTACGGACATGTCCATACATGCCCATACATGTATAGACATGTCCGTACATGTCCATACAAGCCCATACATTCGCGTCTATTTTTCAAAAAATGTGAGCGGTATTGTAGTGACTTGCAGTGTGCTACCACTCGCCTCAACTTTGACAGTTCGCTCTCATTTTGCACTGTGGGCGGAAAAGAGCATTGCGTGCGGGTAGACAGGCGCTATACTCCTCGAGGAGTATAGCATGGCGACGGGCGATCGCCAGTCGCCAATATTGGCGACTGTGTCTTCTATGCATTTCGATCGCTAACAAGTTACCACACGTCCAATCGATACACATTTAATGTGTAGTCGCCAACACTGGCTACTGGCGATCGCCAATATCGGCGACAAAAATCGCCAGTTTTACACGTATTTGATGCATATCGATCGTCGCCATGCTATACTCCTCGAGGAGTATAGCGCCTGCCGTAATTAATCTGGTTTCGATCTACGGCCAACTGTTATTCACTTGTAAGACCTAACCCACGGCCAACTGCTGCGCATTTCTGGGGGGTTACCTCGCTGGCCACTTGTTGCATGTCAAGTGCGCGAATTAATTGTCCCTGCGCATCGTTGTAGATACCTTCGAGCATTGTTCTCGAAGAGGGGTATCGGCGGAACTCCTGGCTAATGTGATACCACAGTTGATGTCAGCCGAGGAGAGCAGCAGCTGTATAGAAATTTTACTAGTACTAGTTTTTATTTTCTGCCGGCAATTCGCGAGCGAGTCCTTTTAAAAACGATAATCGTCTAATTTTGATTTTAGGCGCAAAGGCTTACTTCACAGCATAACCGGACCCGGTGACTAGGTCATGGTTGACGCAAAATTTCGATAAATCGCGGAATTTTATAGCTACTATCTATAGCTACTCACGGCTTTTCACGGCTGTTTTCACGGCACGATTCCATTTGCATATCACGGATCACGGTAATCCGGTGTGCAAGTCAAGAATAATGCGCTTATATGCAAAAAAACCAAGGCCTAATAATTTCTACGGAAAAGATACTCGCTCGCAGGACTGTAAGTTTTGATTATCTACAATGTTAGTGACACACTATATTGTTATTGAGATTAGTTTTACTCACGCGTTTGTTCGAACTTCCTTTTGGCCATAAGGAAGAGATTGCTGTGGAAGAGGAGAGGGAGGGGGTGGGGGAGTTGTGTTGGAAACTTCAGAGACTACGAATTTGCAAAAAATAATTTTATCTAGGCTTGAGATTCTCTCCGGGACTTCCATGTCAGGCCTGAGGCAGGGCCCGGCACGAGGTGGGCAAATGACAAGCTGGAAATCGTTTTCGGTGGAAAAAGCAAGAGGGAAATCGTTTTTGCGGGGTCCGGGGCAGAGCCCCGAAAGAAGATTCCAGTGCAAGCAAGAGAAGGTCGAATCATGCTTATTACCTTATGCATCTAATTCATTGGGAAGTGGTTTTCATAAGCCTCAACGCACAGCAGAGTTTGCGCGCGCTACGTCGCGCCGCCGCTAATCCGCGTGAGTGATGTCGCGTAAGCGATGGCGCTGAACAGTATGATTACATGATCAGTTCTCAATGCAGGCGTAACGGTATAGCATTAAATTACGTAAGCGAACGAAGAAAGGCTAGTAGAAACAAAGTATGAAATATTATGAAAAATTTATGTGAATGGGAGGTGTAATAAGCATTTTTTCCTAAATTTGCAAAACTGGTAAATGAAGATGTGAATTTAAATGGCTCGATTGCGCCGCACAGATGACCATACGGTATGAAACTTGGTAGGTACACAAAGATGGGCATATAGGGCTTAACTTAGAAGTTTGAAAAATTATATGCCTGAAGGCTGTGGCAAGCTTTTTTCTGAAAATTTCCCACTATAAAGAAAATGGAAAAATGGCTCGTTTGCAGCGCAGAGAAAACGAAATCGCGCGAGACTTGGTGTGTATACGCGCAGTAGGACTAAGGAACAATGTATGAAAAATTATGAAAACTTATGTGAATGAAGAGCGTGCTCAACTATTTTCCAAACTAGGTGGGCAATTGCCCACCTAATGCCCACCTGAGGTGGGCAAAACTTTCAATTCACACAAGTTTTTCAAAATTTTTATATAAATCTGTTGTACACCTAAAGTTTACTACAGGATGAAATTTTGGTTCCGAAACTCCTCCTCTTGTCTTTGTTAGAGCCCAAAATCGCATCAGCAGCCTAGCTTTCTAAGATGGAAAGCGCGCCCCAGTCAATTGATACGCGTGGGAAAGCGTCTCTCAGTCCTATGACTGCACTACTTTAATATTTCTTTGTTCCTTCATCATTTTTTGCTTATTCTTCTTCCTGTTTTCTATCTTGATACAGGTAAGGAGTAATTAAAAGAATTCAAGTGTTTTTGGGCGCTTTTAAGCGCTTTTAGGCGAAGTGTGGCCAATTTTCGTTGCAGATGCACAAAGCATCGTTTTTGGGCTCAACGGGGTATTCGTAAGAAGTATTGGGATCAAAGGGGAATTCGTTTTGGGAAACCCCGTTTGCCCACCTCGTGCCGGGGCCTGGCCTGAGGGTGTACGGGCCCTAACCTGATGCTGTGTAGCAGTGTTTTACATATGGAGTGGTTATCATATTTATTATATACATAAGGATACAGAGAAGGGAAAGGGAGGGGGAGCAGCTAGGCTGCACGGAATAGAGGCGAATGCCGTGCCAGTTGCTGACACGAGCTTATATACGCCGACTGAGTGTAAACGGCTGGACAGTTGGTGGATGCTTACGATAGCAAGCTACATCCAACTATAGAGTTACACAGCGGCTACATCCTGACAGGCCTAGTGTGGGAGCCCTCATCAGTATGCCATCGAATCTCGTGAGCCCCACTTTGGGTGGACGGTGCCTTTGAATGGGGCCGTTTCGAATGCCATATATTATGATGCGAACTTTTCATGTGACTGTGGTTCTTTGAGATTGTTTTTATTTACTTTTCTCCAGAAAGCGATTCAAAAATGCCAATTATGTGGATGACGTTTATCCATTTATCTGGTCGAATTTCTCCTCTGCTGGCTATGTGACACTGTATGGAGAAGATGCATTTGGTATAGGTAAGCGCACATGAAAGTTGTCTATGTCCCAGTGTGAAGAAGTTCAACTTTTTTATTCTTCAAAGTCATCACATCGAATTGGTGAAAGTGCATGTGCTTTTCCAGCTCTCGTTTGTTGTGTAGATTTTCGAATTAATTGTCATCTTTGTTCAATGGTAATCCGTGATAATGTGACTCAAAAAATTCTCATGGATCAAGTGTCTAGGAACTTTCACTTATCGGTTGAAAGGTTTCCGTAATCAACCAACTGATCACTACCTGCGGACAATTTTCGAGGATTACGAGAAGAAAGGAGGAAACTGTCTTGGTTCGGAGCCTCTTCACAAGGTTAGCTCCCTTCTTGTAGTAATGCTCAACTTTGTTTATAGCTCGATTTTGTGGTTACTTTTGAACTTTAATTACTGTGTTTTTGGAAATGCATTGTGTTTAGACATGGTTCCGTTATTCGCGAGAATTTATGCAAGTTTACAAAGATATGCCACGTTTTCTTCTAATGCATCAATATCGACTTTCGCATGATGATATAAACTTGGTGGAAGTGGAAGATGAAGATCTTGCATCCACATTGTTGGAAATGCACAGGAGTGGTGAGTTCTTTCATTACAATGCAGTTCGATTAGTATGTTAAAAATGGAGTACAATATACTGACATTCGGTGCGTGCGGCGCGCGCTTCTCAGACACTTGCGCCGGCCGGCGGCCGTTCCATCAATTTGGGCGGAGCCAAATTCCGGCTGGCGAGCACGCGAGCTGATCATGCCGGCCGGCGGCCTTTCCAGTGTGCAAAAACACGACGAGCAAGGGACTGTGCATACAATAAGAAATTAATTTCAAACATTGCGTGATTGAGCCTGCTAAGTAGCAAGCTCGTCTTACTTATTCGCCTTTATTAATGCTGTTGTTACTTCCTTTATTACTGTTGTGGTTTTCCATTACGGTTACGTTATGTTTACGTGCCCATCCTACTAAATTGCGCTCTCTTTTTCAGATATGAGGAAACTCCGTGATGGCTGTTACTTCTTCTTTCTACTATCCTGCTCTTTTTGACTTTGTCAAGTCTAACGAGTTAGCTAATCTCGGGACTTGATCCCTCTCCCCTGTTGTATTGGGGGGGGGGGGGGCACGCGGAAGGCGACATTGTGCGGAAAGTGCAAGCAGTGTAAAATCGCTCTTACTAACTTTTACAGAATTTTACTGGTGGTATCGAGTCATGTATCTGCCCCCACCGCCCACCTCCCTACCTTGGCCCCGTGCCACTTTAACACCGACGAGTTTTGAAAGGCACAGAATTTGAGGATTGTCGCCTTCCGCATCACACCCTGTTGTATTACATCTTTAACAGAACAGTTCTTGACTAGATGATTTTATCATTATAAGTAGCTGCGGTCCCCGGTCTCGCCCGGGTCGAGGATTCAAAGTGGCCCGGCAAAGGGTCTATTCCAAAATGTCTTATGCTTACCATTCCTCCATTTCTTTTAACTTGCATTTTCTCTTCATTTTCTCTTCCGCTCCAGCTCCGATGTTCGAATTGAAGCGCTCCCATAGCATCCGTGGTAAAAATGCCTTTCTTCTTGACCGGCTGCTTCGTGACACCGCATCCTCCTCACCGCAATAAAATGATTTCTACCGCCCCCTACTTAGCTTGGAGAAATGATTAATGTGCTTTCATTCTCCTTATATATCGTCGAGTCATTCGTAACTTAACATGCGTAGTGCACACTTTACAGGTTAACTGACGAACTGCGAAACTAGAACCTGCTCATTTCCAGTGATTTCTCCTTGTTTCCTTGTTTCTTTTGTTGTAGTTGGTTATATGCTAGTCAGTAGAACACATTTCTACATTTTGGGAGGCTAGAAAGTGTTTTACTGGGAAGTTACTAGTGTGGGTGCCGTCAGTAAAAGGGCTTAGTGTGCAATCTCACATATTAAGCTACAAATGATTTGTCATGTGTGCACGAAGGTGGTTAGTGGTAGACTGTTTTATCCTTATCAGACATATTACAAATAGGCGTAGCGTCCAAAACGAACGCTGCGCAAACAATTGATATGCCGGGTCGCATTTGCGCCGCAAAATGCGACACTGCGGCCCGGGGCGAGAACTGACAACAAACAAAAACAACGAAAAGGTATAAGAACGAAAATTAACAACAGAAAGAAACGGGAAGACAAATGATCACTTGACTTTGGCGGCTGGACGGTGATGCGGAGGGCAGACGACGATGAGTGGAGGGGTTGATAGCCGTAGAGGGGCAGCGTTGCGACGATGATGTACGGTGGACTTGATTGCGATAGAGGGGCAGCGATGGCGAGGACGGTGGTGTGGGGAGGGGTAGGAGTCAATTCAAATCTTTCTGCGCTTGCAAGCGTTGGATGTGCCACGCGACGGGCACAGGAGCATGTTGTGGTCCGCGGTGCAAATGGAGCACTTCACTCCACAGTCCTGGCCATGGCGTGGTTGTAGGCACTTGTTGCAAAGGCCCAAAACGTTGGCCTGCACCGCTCTTGCCACTGCGTCGGGGTATCTTAAGCATCTTCCCGTGGGGTGAGCGTCGCGATTGTCCTCGTAGGGGCAGAAGGCGCAGTTGGAGCGTGGCTTTGAACGGTCTAGAAGCGTGTCGAGCGCCTGATCGTATGATCTTAGACGTACCTCCAATCTCTGGACAGTGGATTCCATGCGCTGTTCGAATGATTGAAGGAGGAAGTCGATCTTTTGCTCCATGGTCCTGACGGCGTTTGCGAGGGGCTCAATATGCGTCACCATGTCGACCTTGTCCAGCATAGTGGTGTTTAGTTGGAATGGATGTATTTCTTGATGGGACGGGAGCCTTTTAAAGGATTCGTTGAAATAGCTATCTTATCGAAGATAAGATAGCAACTACCTACCCTCGATATCATCCCATATGTCTTCCCTCAACATGACGTGGATTACGTGGCTTGATGAGGCGCCGCCTCGCCTCGGGTTTGCGCCACGTTTGCGTGCGCATCTTCGGCGTGATGTGGCAACAAGAAGAACGTGGAGAAGCCTGCGCCACGTTGTGTTGAGCGCCACGTCGGGCCAAATGATGCGCTCGCAACGTGGTGCGAGCCCGAGGCGAGGCGGCGCCTCATCAAGCCATGTAATCCACGTCATGTTGAGGGAAGACATATGGGATGATATTGAGGGTACAAAGAGTTGCAGGCAATATTGCCGGAGGGAGAATGATTAGATACAGAGGCAGATATCATACGATGATAAGGTAAGTGCCGTAAGGTGAGGATTCATTTGTTGATAGCATATTATCTACTGTTTATTTGTTTTATACATGACTTATGTACAAGTGTAAGTACTTTCATTTGCATTTTCATTTTTTTTCATTTGCATTTTTTGTGTTTTTTTTCATTTGCATTTTTCATGTTTTTCTACATATGTTGAAGATGAGTGCAAGCAAAGTGCCAAAAATTCGTAGCACGCTTTCACTGCGAGTACGACTAGTTTTACAATAGTAACCAGTACTATCGGTCCCAGGCAGTACGTTAAGAAGGTGATTCTGAGTGCTGAGCTCACCGTTGCCAGAGTTAGTTTCCAGTGTTGCGCTACCAATTTCATAAGTGGCTTAAGGTCTGGTATTTTGATATCGCTAAACCAGTCCAGTTTCTGATGCCATGTGAAGTCCCCATCAGTCTCAAACGACGGCGCCTCCAAGTGTTTGGGCATGTATTCGAGGTGGCCCGCTAGATCAATTTCGATCTGTTTTCCCTTACAAGCTGCTGTGCATTTCTCCTCTACGATAGCGCGATCGTAATCCAATATAACTTTTGATTGCATGGTTTTTGCGCCGCATTCGACTGGGAAAGTGTGCGCACCGCATCTTATGGTCAGCCAAGCGTCGATTTCGGTTAGACATGATATGGATATAGTTGCGCCTTCTTGGCAGTCGTAACATCCTGTCACATTAGTGACTGAGGCTTGGCATTCCTGATCTAACGTGTAATGCCCCGAGTCTAAGAGCAGTTTCGACTCGATTTTTATTGTGACCTCAGCCTCCTGTGTACTTGTCACGATGCTGTTATCATAGACGAATGTTTGTGAGAATGGTGTTATTGTAGGCAGCTTGTTTGATGCATCTGCTTTGATATCCTGTATGTTCTCATTTGGGCAATCGCATCGGGTTGGCGGGTTTGTTCCTCTGCATGCACATATCATGCGATTTGCACAGGATCTGAAGTCTGACAATGCATTAGCTGGGGATGAACATTCGACCGGTAGTTTATAGCCTTCTGGAATTGCTAATACGGTATTGTTAGAGATAGCGAAGCGCCTTTGAAGTACGGGGAGTGCCGGTTTGTGCACTGATATGGCTGTGAACTCGATTTCTTTTGTGTTACATAGGGTAGCAATATCATCTGTTTGGATGCTACCCTATTGAAAAGCGTAAGTTGCAAAGAAAGGTTGACGCTGGGTTTCCATTCTAAGCAATCTAAGACCTCGTATACGTCCTCGTTACGTGGTACGTGTGCGACTCTGTAAAACGAGCAGGCCGGTATCGGGAACATCCACAAGCTAATCCACCACAGGCTCTTTCACATCCTGAGTACCCTGGATATTCTTCTGCGTGTTGACGCTCAAGCTCCTGTACCGTTCCATTAGCTTTGAGGTTCGCGCATATTTGTTCTGTGCAAGACCCTGCTTGATGACATCTGATTGCGCTATAAACACGTGGTTTGCTATCTCTGGTGAAAAACAGTGTGCAATTCGAGCATTCCATTGTATTGGGTTATTTTTTGATATGTAGTGTTCCTATAGTTTTGTTTGCATGGCGTATCTGAACGCACAGATTCACTTGAATTTTGTTGAAGAGCACCTCTCTACTGAGTTCATAGGAGCACTGGTTGTCCCTGCCGCACTCAAGATCTACGTTGTGCCTCATATGCCCGTGTTGGCAGGCGTTAGCCAGTGTGGTGAGGGCGAGTAAGCTCAGGGCAATGATGTTTTTGTTATGTATGGGTGCTGGTGCGAAAGTTCTAAGTGAAAATCTGTTGTCTGGCCTGTAACGAACTTGTTCCTTTTTGCGTTTTGCGCAACAAAGGTATAGGATGAGTGGAATTGTAAGCACGAGGTAGATTAGTGCTGCTATTGAGATGATTGCACCTGTAGGCCAACAGTGTGGGTAAGCAAGAAGCTTTTTTGATAGAATTAAATGCGGATGCTCACATATGGAAGGCATTTTGCATGTTCTAGCTATGTAACCATGTTCGTAGATGATTTGAATTTCATGGATATGCTAATGTTATTTGCTTGTGACGTGTGCGGTAAACGAAGTGATAGGTCAGAGCTGTTTTTTGCATAAGTTTTGCACCTTGCACCCACCTATGCAAAGCTCGAACTGCTCTTTCGGTGAAGTTATATTCACTGTACCATTAAGGCAATGCAGTGCGCTTTGCGTTGCATTTGCCGCGCTTATGATGGTTAGGAAAAGTGTGAGTAAGAGTGGATATGTTCCTAAACTGATGTATTGGGAAGCGCGTGGTGTGTTAGTCTCCTCTAAACTTTCTTCAAACTCTTGAATTGCTTGTAGAGTTCTTACTCTAGCTTGCCGTAGAGGTCTCATCGCTGTTTCTGGAGCATTATCTTGTATTTCTTCGATGGGATTGTCGTTGATTGGTGTGTTTCTAAGCTCTAACGGATAGATTTTCGTTAGTGGACGATGTAGAATGTGCCTGTTCGGTAGCTGTAACTTGACAGATCGAACCTGACCGTCCTGGCTTCGCAAAAGTTCAACGATTTTGCCGTAAGACCAATTGCGTGGTATGAAATCTTGTTGTATTAAGACTATCTCACCGACGATGGGGTCTCTTAGGGCGGTATGTCTGGATTGACGAAGTTCGGATTGCTGAATTTCACGAAGCATTGTCAGGTACTCGGTATTCCACCTTTCCCAGAATTTGTTGGCTACGGTCTCTGAATATTCCAAAGCTTCTCTTGCTTGTAGCGCAGTTTGAATTAGGTCAGGATCATACGAGTTGTCGCGTTCCGTGGACAAGCCGACATTCGGTATGCTGTACGCCAGGTTTCCCTGTAGAAAGTCGACGGGCCGAAGTGGTATATCCGAGATGTCCGTTGAAGGTAATTTTACCAACGGTCTTGTATTGATTACGGCTTCTATGCGGGTGACTGCTGTACAAAGCTGCGTAAATGTGAACTTTTTTCTCCCGAATGCTTTTTGGAGGGCTCTTTTTACTGTACCCACTAATCTCTCCCAGACTCCTCCCATCCATGGAGCAGCTGGGGGATTGAAAATCCAGCGGACAGTGCTTGCGCTATATGTCATGACTGAAGAGCCTGTGGTCTCATTATTTTAATACATGGATTCGAGTATTTGTTGGCCCAGTCTAAAGTTGGTGCCGCAGTCCGTGCGTATTAGCTTGGGTACTCCTCTACGTGAGACAAACCTCACGAGGCAATCAAGAAACGCTCCGGTAGACATGTTTTCGACAACTTCCAAGTGAACTGCCCGAGTTGTGAGGCACGTGTAAAGGCAAACATACATGCGCCCGTCGTTTCTGTCGAAGATTGGACCAAAGAAATCGCAGCCCACGTTCTCGAATGGACGTGAACGTTTGACTCTATCTCCAGGAAGAGGAGGCATTGCTGGGGCTCCGAATGGGAGTCCTTGATATCGTTTGCAAGTGGTACAGTTCCTGATGTATTTGTTGTAAGCGTTGGATGGTCGAGGTATCCAAAATCGCTGCCTTGCTAAGCACAGCGTTTGATCTTTGCCGCAATGGGCATTTTTGCAGTGTATATCACGGATTATCAACCTAGCTAAGTCAGATTTGGGGTTAACATATATGGGAGATTTCGTGTCAAAGTCCATTAGTGCATTTTGTAAGCGTGATTCGTGTCGAATCACTCCATTTTCATCCCTAACTATTGTTTTTTGAGGGAATCTTTTTTGGAGTTCGTCCAGTGAAATAGAGCGGTGTTCTTGCTGGAAGATAATACGCTCACTGAGTTGCATGTCAGACGCTGTTATATCGAAGTTAACGTCAAACTTGTGAATAAATTCTGTGCTAAGCGGGGTATTTCTTATGCGGTTTACCCGCTCTATCCATCGATGTAAGCACTTTCCTACATTTGACGTAGTTCTAAGTGCGCTATCCCATTTGGAAAATCTTGATAGATTCTGTTCTGGCCACACCAGAACCCCTGCCGATGGCGGCCCCCTTTCTTGCATCAGGGGCGGGGCGCGTAGCCCCGCACTCTTCGTTTTGCGCTCTCCCGAGCACGTTGTCAATATCCTGATAAACATAACCACTGAACCACTTTCTTATTGTATACTAAAAAGGGCCTGCCATACGCCCTGTACACATCAGGCTATACCATAAGCCTCAAGTCGCCACATTTTTGGTGCATCGGCCAAACAATCGCCGTATTTGAGGTTGATCTACTCGACCTTGGGACTCAGCTAGCCCTAAATTACAAACCTTTGTTTGTCACACTTTCCCAACTCAAAAGCAGTTGGAATTTTATGTGTTAGAGCCAAATAATCAAACATGTCTCTATATTTTCACAAAAAAGCCATCCGTACCAGCTCGTCCAGACTGTCAGAGCTTCTCAAAACGTACGAAGCTAATGGACACGGAAAAAAGGTCGACTACCCAGAGGACGATCAGGAACGGCATGATAAATGCGCAGCAAACTTGATATCACTAGCTGAGTGCCTAGACGAGGTAAAAGAGTATACGGAAACGCTCGAGAGCAAAGTTGACAATATGGAGCAAGTTTTCATGGGTATCAAATCCAAAACTGAGCAAAAAGAATGGATTGCGGAGATTGAAGAGTTTGAAAAAGAATCGGAATATTCTAAAATTCTTGACGAGTCCGCCAATTTCGTGCTCAGGGTTGAAACTCAGATCGCAGACGCAAAAATAAAATTACAACAGGTGCAATATAAATTGAAAATCCCTGTCCACGTAGAGCCTTCCGGTCAAAATGTTCAGGAAGACGTGGCAAGTGAGTCTTCCAGTCAAAACGTTCAGGAAGACGAATCAGGAAAGTCTAGTACGATCAGCAATGAGTCTGCTAACACGCAAACAGTGCCAGTAAGGAAAACACGTACTATTAAAGCGCCATCAATTACATTACCGACATTTAGTGGTCGCCAGGAAGAATTTCCAGAGTATTGGGCCGTCTTTGAGACGCTCATACATGAAAATGACGAGTTATCTACATTCGAAAAAATTGTGCATCTCAAAGAAAGTTTGAAAGGAGCAGCTGAGAAAGCCATCCGAGGCATCAAGCCTGTTCCAGCCAATTACGACTGGATGGTCGATACTGTAACGAAGCGCTTTGGTAATAAAACTACGAACAGGTCCAAAATTGTGCAAAAACTGTTCGAGCTCAGGTCCGCAAATAAAAAGGCGGAGAGCTGCCAGGAGTGTTTCGACTCCATACAAACACTCGTCAATCAGATGGTGTCCGCGGGCTACGACATCCGCCCTATGTGTGACCCCATGTGGACGGAGACTATCCTCAAAAAATTTCCGTATGAAATTGTCAAGGACATACTGGTGAAGAATCAGGAGACCGATACATTGAAAGTCGAGGACTTGTGAGAAGCCCTGGACAGGGAGATTTCAGCCAAGGCGTATGTGGAGCTACGCCTCGGTACTACCAATACTGATCCAAACGGGTCACATTCACAAGATCGTCGCCCAAACTTACCAGGTGACTGCATTTTCTGCGGCAAGTCGAATCACCAAGCCGCTTTGTGCAGGTCCATTGTCGACCGGCAAAAACGCCGGGACATTCTCAAACAGCAGCGACGATGTTGGAAATGTTTCCAAAACTCACATTCCAGCAGCAGCTGCAAAGCTGCGGATTGTTCTAGATGCGGACGCGCGCATCATGCGTCCGTCTGCCTTTTTTCGGGACATCCGGGTCCCTCCGCGTCGAACCAGCCGCACGCATCGAAGTGGTCGAAAAATGAAACCACCCAAGATTGTTTCAACAACAGATTTCCTGTTAGGAATACACAACCCGCTAACAGACAAGCATATTCTGGGAATGATATACGACGCCAGCAGCAAAGCGCTAATCAACCGTTTGCTTCAAACCAGAACATCCAAAATGAAAACTGCATGTCATCTGCTCATAGGAAAAGCGAGCAGCTCGTTCTCATGACCGCTGAAGGGAATGTGTGGAACCACAAAGCACATATTTTTGAAAAAGCTTTGTTCTTTTTCGACACTGGAGCCCAAAAAACGGTAATTGAAGAGGCTCTCTCGGAAAAACTCGGATTGCCACGCATTACTTCCGAGACTTGCATTATGTCAGGTATCGGTGGGCATACGGAAAAGTTTGAAAGCCACTTAGTAGCCCTTAAAGTTGGCACAGCGTATGGCAGAGAAATAGATATGACCATACAAACAAAGCCAATCATAACTGGCGGGTTCCCATCCGTCAAACTTACAGAAAGTGATCGCGATTTCTTACAAAAGAGTGAATTATGCATAGCAAATTCAAAAATCAGAGGAGAACGTCAGATTCCTCATATCCTAGTCGGCCTTGATCGCTACTATGATTTCATTATTTCGAACACAACCGCTACTACTACTCCGTCAGGTCTGCATGTAGCCAAAACAGTGTTCGGCCCTACTGTTTACGGTCGTGGCCATATTGATGATAGCAATAACACGACCACACTGGTCCATTCCATGTCTGCAGTATGCGAATGTTCAGACAGCGATAACATTCAAAAACTTTTCGAGCTAGAAAACATTGGCATCACTTCTCTTGAAAGTGACAAAGATCAGGGTACTTTGAAGTACTTCAGGGAGTACTCGAAAACGATCACGTTCGACGGCAACTATATCACAGCGCCGTTTTCACTCAAGGACAATATCGCTGAACTCAGCGATAACTACGGGGTCGCAATCAAGAGATTGGCGGCTCTCCAAAGGAACTTACACGCCAATGGCGAACAGATGGAGTGGTATAGCAGAACACTCACAGATTACGAGCACCAGAACGTAATCGAGAGGATTTACGAACCAGAAGATGGTGCTGTTGGCAAGTATTATATGCCGCATACTGGCGTTTGGCGCCCAGAAAAACAAAAACCGCTGCGAATTGTTTTTGATGCTTCTTCAAAAAAGAGAGGCGACCTTTCTTTAAACGACGTAATCCACAAAGGAGAATCTTTTGTGAATAAGATTCACGACATACTGCTCGCATCTCGAACAAGTAAATACATTTTACTTTGCGATATCGAGGCAGCATTCACACAGATACGCCTTTGCACATCACATAAAGACTTGTGCAGGTTTTCTATGGCTCAAGGATCCTAAGCAGCCACCATCCAACACGAATATTATAGAATACCGTTTTACTAGGATTCCATTCGGAGTAACTGCCTCTCCAAGCATTTTAAATATGGCAATCTCAGCGTACTTGGAATCTCTTGAATCAGTAATTGCATCTGAAATTGCACGCAACATCTACGTTGACAACATACTGTTATTGACAGAAATTGAAAAGGAAGCGTTGGAAAAGTACGCGCTTTTCCAAGAACATTTTTTCACAAATTGGTATGAACCTACGCGAATATGTATCCAACTCAGACATTGTGAACCAAGCAATTCCCACCCATGACCGACAACCAGCAGGGAAAATTAAATTGCTTGGAGTGAGTTATGACACTGTGAACGACCGTTTTTCGGTCCCGGCACACTTTCCATGCAAAAATCATTTAACTAAACGCGAGATTGTTAGCACCATCAATTCTTTGTATGATCCACTTGGCATAGCCGGTCCACTGGTAGTAGGAATGAAGTCACTTATGCGGGATGCATTTAACGGTGCACTCGGCTGGTCCGACCGTGTGCCCATCCAGTTGGCTAAGAAATGGAATGAACAAAGTGCCAAGATAGATGGAGCTCTGATAGAGATCCCGCGTTTGATTATTTCCGCAAATGACGCATGTGCTAATCCTTGCCTATGGCTATTTGCAGATGCCAGCAAATCATCAATGGCAACTTGCGCCTACATTCAAAACATGAAAACAAAGCTCTTAGTCAGCTCATTAGTGGGAAAACGAAGCTTACACCAAAAAGCTCACATCAGACAATACCTCGCTTAGAGTTACTTGCTATTCTACTAGCATTACGACTAGGTACCAGCGTAGTGCAAGCTGTCAATAGAGGCATAAAATCTATAAATATCGTCAGCGATAGCGAAATAGCTTTGTGTTGGATTAAAACACAACATCAAATTCCCATTTTCGTTGCAAATCAACGAGATAAAATACTCAAACTCAAGAGTCAGTTTGAAAAGCAAGACATTGTGGTACGATTTATGCATGTTGCAACATCCTTCAATCCAGCTGACGCTGGCACTAGAGGTCTCACAGCAACCGAGATTATTAGCCATGATTGGGTCCGGGGACCGCAATGGCTCAATGACGAGCAGTTGTTGCAAAATTTGAGATTCATGGACGAAATTGAAGTAGACAATTTCAAAGAATCTTTCCAAGAACCAAGTGTAGAAACCGTCGCAATCGAAAAATCAATATTACCTACGGACTCCGTCGTTGACCTTTCGCGTTCCTCCAAACTCGACATTGCCCTGAGGACAGTCGTTCGAGTTGCGAAGTACCTCCGCAAGTTGGCAACAGGCGTTGATAAAAGAAAAGGTACCAATATGAGTGGGAAAATGCTCCCTCAATTTGACTCGTGTACACATGTCACAGAACAGGATATGTCCGCCGCTCGAATATTTCTGATTTCACAGGTACATGAAAATTTCGATCTCAACGAACTTCAGAAAACGTACTGTGACAAACGCCTAATAAGGGATAAAGATGGTGTGATTCGTCACTTATCAAGATTACAACTTGCTAACATCCCTTTTGATTCAAAATCCCCAATGTTCTTACCAAACAGAGGCGAATTTACCAGACTCGTTTTGGAAGACATACATAGGAAGAATTACCATTGCGGAAAAGATCACACGCTTGCGATAGCGCGAGAACGCTTTTGGATACCAAAGCCGTCTGGTGCATTCCGTACTTACTTGAAGAATTGCGCGGTCTGTAAGCGCTGGCAGGGTTTACCATTCGGTGCACCAGCAATGCCTTCATTACCGCAAGATAGAGTGCAGATATCAAAACCATTCCTTAATTGCGGTTGTGACTTTATGGGTCCGTTTTTATCCAAGAATGGAGAAAACACGTACATCTGCTTATACACGTGTCTCACTACAAGAGCAGTTCACCTCGAAGTTGTTGACAGCCTCTCAACAGGCGCCTTCCTGAGCAGTTTCATACGCTTCATATCAAGAAGAGGTGTTCCGCAACTTATGCGCACTGATTGCGGCACAAATTTCAAGCTCGGGTCACGAGTAATTGAGGAGCTATTCCGTACAGATGAGTCCTCTGGCAGCTCAGTAATGTCGTACAGCTCTACCAACGGCGTTAAATGGTTGTTCAACCCACCAGCCAGCCCATGGATGGGTGGAGCTTGGGAACGGCTGGTCGGTTCCGTGAAAAAATCCATGCAAGAGTCAATTGGCAGAAAAAGACTCAGTTTCGTAGAGTTTTGTACGGTTACTAGTCAAATAGAAGCGGTCATTAACACTAGACCACTAACAAAACTCAGCAGTTCGTGTTTGGAAGAGATTCCCTTGCGTCCTATTGATTTCCTGCAGGGGAACATCAAGTATTGACTACCAGACACAGCAAGTTCTAATTGCGGCGACGATCTTAGCTATGATCCTGACTTGATACAAACCACAAAGCAAGCCTGTGAAGCATTGGAGTACCCTTCTCAAATTGCCAATAAAATTTGGGAACGGTGGAGCTCCGAATATCTAACAGCTTTGAGAGAGATACACAGAAGTATACTCAAGCAACCGCGGCATATCGCTAGAGCCAAACCAGAAATTGGTGAGATTGTTCTAATTGAGCAAGAAATGTTACCAAGAGGAAGCTAGTGTTACGGCAAGATCATTGCCCTCATTGAAAGCGCAGATGGCGGTCTACGATCATTGAAAATTATGATCCCGAATGGGAAAGTATTGCATCGTCCCATGAATAAGGTTTATCCTCTAGAAATTAGAAGTGCGGTCTTACAAGATCAAAACGAATCACTTCCAACACCTCCAGTCGGTGAACAGCAGCAGGAAACAAAACAAAGACCTGCACGTCAATCTAAACTGAGAGCTTTAGAACGCCTGAAAACCAGGAGACAGCGCTGAAGATGATGATCAGTTCAGCCAAAGTCAGCAAAACGGATACTCAAACTTCGCAACTGCATCGCCTGCACCGGCGAGCCTATCTCGCCAAAGTTACAATTTTCCTACAATTGGTGTACGAACACTCGTTAGAACACTTCTTATTATGTGTGCTCTGAGTAACAAGGTCACGAGCCAGCTACACACCAATATCGAGTGTGTGAATGGAGCGGTAAAAGTTTGGACACCTGAAACCTCGTTTAAACTATGCTTCGATCATGATTGTCAAGCCTTTATGGCTGACACGCAGAAAACTATCCAATTCAAGCTGCCTCCCTCTCCATACGATGAAAGCGTAAATGTCAGTATGCAATTCTCGATTAGAAATGAATCGATACGAGTTAACACCTCCTGTACCCCGCCATCGTTCTGTGATTACGCTGGTATAGGGGCCTGCAGGATCGCGAGAGTCGGACGTGCGTACGGCCATTGCGCCGCGCACGTCGTATGTCACTGGGTCGTACTCAATTTAGGCTGGATAGGTGAGATTTTTTTGTTTTTCTTCTCATTTCTCGCCTTCTTTTCTTTTCAGGCGGCGAACATATGTTGGTGCAGAGGAGTTTAAGATCTAGAAGATCTAGATTAAGGTGAGGTGCAGGATTATGCTCAATACGGGCCAATATTGTGGACTTTTCACCCCTGCTTTGAAGAATGTTGAGTTTTCTGTTCTGGCTGTCCGATTATGTTCGATTTTTCGTCCTGCCTGCCCGGTTACGAAACTCCGTTTTATTTGCAACGTCTGTTCTACCTCATCTTGCATCATGCGCGTCATCACAATCATAATCTGTCATCATCATCACCATCATCACAAGCAGTATGCAAGATAAGGTAGAATAGACGGTAGAAATAGAACAGTTTGCTGTAACAGGGCAGCCAGGACAGAAAATCCAACATCTCAACCAGCAGGCATGGAAGGTCTGCAATATTGAGTCCGTATTGAGCATAATCCTGCACCTCACCTTAATTCAGATCTTAAACTCCTCCGCACCAACATGTGCTCACCGTCTGAAAAGAAAAGAAGGCGTGAAATTTAAAGAAAAACAAAAAAACTTACCTATCTAGCCTTAATCGACTACGACCCAGCGATATCAGGCGTGCGCGGCGCAAAGGCCGTACGCGCGTCCGACTCTCGCGATCCTGCAGGCCCCTATAGATTGTTGAGCACATCATTGATCGGAAACCCACACTGTTGGCCGGTCGGAGCAATAATGAGCGTTGGAATAATCATTTACCTGATTGCTGCTCTAGGAATGATCACATTTTGGATCATAAGCAAAATAAAACTGTCGAAATGGCGAAAAGCAACACCGGCTACGCCACCACAACAGAACGTTTTTACGCTAAATTCGTTCTCACCCATACCACTTAGCGGTCGTCTGATGGCCGTGGTGTGCGTCATGTCTCTGTGCATGATTCAGCCAGCTGCTGCATGCCAGAACGGATACATGCGTCAATCCGTGGATATGGTATGTGGACCAAAACAACACTGCTCACAAAAATTCAGGCGTGAAATCTTGTTCAACACATTGCAGAAAGAACAGTGCATCGAAATTCGCCAGCAGGGCGAAGGTGTGGGCTTCATAAAAATCACGATGAAGTCAATGCGACTGGAATGTGTCAAAGTCTCAAAGTATTTCACAAGAGAAACTGAATTACAGATACACTTCTCTAGAAGATGTCCACAGATGGGTTCATGCGTTGAGCAAAAATGCGATCTACTCCAAAGAAACGAGACTGTTCCTGAATTGGAGTCTGTTAGTCATTATCCTGGCTATTCAGGTTGTCAGTATTCTTGCGGAGGACTGTTGTGTGCAGGGTGCCTTCTGCCGCTTCCATCATGTACCTTCTACAGAGTATCTCACGTTCCCCGCACCCAAATCGTCTACGAGATCTTAGAATGTGCGGAATGGAAACCCATCCTACATCTGGAAGTTGAAACCAAGTCAAAATCCATTACAACAAGGCAAACACTACAAGTCGATCCTAACATTAGCCAAAGCGTTGATGGAATGAATGTTACAGTCATAGCCCTGCAAAAGCCTGTAGATTCAATGATGTCAAACAAGTTCGCTATATCCGACGTTGACTCCTTCATTGTACCAGACACGCACAAAATAGCGGTCGAATGCAAGGACCGAAATGATGCTCTGAACAATTTTCACACGTGCAATGACAATCTAGAATGCGTTTGTTCAGAAGGAGCCAGTTTACCAAATCATTGTAGATGTCCAGATGGAGATATCGGTAGTATACGCCATGATGCATCATATCGTCTACCCATACAAACACCATTTCTGACAGTGAACCAGTCGGCTGACACGATTGCGGCAGAAACTGACCAGGGAGAGGTGGTCTTAGTTGTTGAAGCTGAAATGTTTGTGAATAGCTCCGACTATGTGGCTGACCTTCCTTGCGACGTTCAGCTTAGCCAGTTGCGTGGATGCTACAGCTGCCAGCAAGGTTCAGAAGTGACAGTTTTATGCCGCTCCGCAGAACCACAGGTGACCACGCTTTATTGCGAATCACAGGCGCTTACATTAGATTGTGGTCCTGATACCATCGTCACAAAGAAGAAACTACACTTCGACTCCGCAGTAGTGCGCATAAATTGCTTCACAGCATGTTCAGGTTCCCACATACATCTGCCCATAAATGGGACCCTAGTCTATCATTATTCTGATTACAGAAATGTGTTTGAATACAACGCACCCATAGATGTAAACTACACCTGGTCAGACTTCCTGGACATCACCCTGCCAGACCTTGAACCCCTCCTGAACACCATAAGAAACCATTGGAAAGCTGCATTGGTGATCATCGGTGTTACGGCAACAATGGCCGGTCTTACATATCTATTTGGGCCAATAGCAGTACTTACTATACTTAAAATATTGTTTGCTATTCTCGAATTAGCACTAAGAGTTGCCAAGGTTTCGGTTACTACTGCAGTTTCAGTGACGGCACGGTTAGTACAGTTCATATTTAGAAGGAACTTGTAAAAAAGCGGTGAGCTATGCACTTGTACATAATTGCCCCCATTAGCAATCTATCACTTACGAGCACCACTACATTCCTTTCATACACAACAAACATCCTCGTAAAAAACTTTACTGCCAAAGTGTAGCCTAAATTAATATCCGAGGGACAGGAAGGCGGTACTCGAGACCGAGCAGGCATAGAAAGGTGTATATAAGGCGGGACAGAGTCGATTCCAGACCTCAAGTTTCGAGAAACATCATGTTCGACAACGTGGATGCCGCCAGCTTGATGCACGAGATACTGAACACCGTACGAACTGTCCAGCATCAAGTCGAACTCGGCCTCCAGCAGATGACGCAATTTGACGAACGAATCGGCAGCCTGGAACAGCGAGTGACCGACATCACCTATTCCTGTTCTGAGCTTTTGGAGCGGTCTAAACCCCGCTCCAATTGCATATTCTGCTCCATCGAAGACAACAAGGACGCGCATCCGACGGTGCGCTGCAACAAGTACCCGGATCCCGTCTCCAAGTCATGCCAAGCCACCCGGCTCGGACTTTGCGAGAAGTGCTTGAAGCCAGCACACCCCGATGATTGCGGCATACAGTGCGCAAAGTGTGGGCGACCACACAATGTGCTGCTGTGTGCCGAAAGGAATGCCCCAAATCACGGTTACAAGCGTCGACGCCCTTAATCTAGCCACCAACCTCAAGCTACCGTCTCTGCCATCGCCTCGATCAACCTCCGCAACCGCCACCGCCTCCAGCCACAACTGCCACCACCACCACCACCGACCACCTGCCACAACTGCCACCACCACCGCCACCAGCCACCAACCGCCTGCCACGACCGCCACCACCACCACCACCAACCACGACCAGCTGCCACATCCATTCCGATTAATTCGAAGCACCTCCAAGGAATGATCATTTCATTTATATTTGTGTTAACTTGTAATTTTGTTGCCATGTTAATTTTTTGGCTGTCGTCGCGCGGAGTGTTCTGGCCACACCAGAACCCCTGCCGATGGCGGCCCCCTTTCTTGCATCAGGGGCGGGGCGCGTAGCCCCGCACTCTTCGTTTTGCGCTCTCCCGAGCACGTTGTCAATATCCTGATAAACATAACCACTGAACCACTTTCTTATTGTACTAAAAAGGGCCTGCCATACGCCCTGTACACATCAGGCTATACCATAAGCCTCAAGTCGCCACAGATTCACTAGGACTTCGTTTTGCCTAACCATGATTGCTGGATAGTCGTTTTGCACGACCACATTTGTTGAAGTTTCGTCTTTTTCTTCGTTGTCCTCAGACAGCTCGGAAAGTTGCCTGAGTATTTTGTGATGCTCTGATTTTGTTAACCATCTAGGACCGTGAATCCAGTCGTGGTGGTGAGCTTGAGAGGACGTAATTCCTCTTGTTCCTGCGTCCGCAGGATTGTACGCGGTTGCTACATGATGCAAGGTTAGCGTAACACCTTTTCTTGCAAATTCTCTTTTAATTTTCTCAATCGTGTTCCTTTGATTTTCTACAAATATGGGTAACTTCTTCGTGCTTTTTGTCCATGCGAGAGCGATTTCGCTGTCGCTGGCTATGTGAAGTTGAGGGATTTTTGTGTTTATGGCTTCAAGGATGGTACTTCCTAAACGAAGTGCTATGACTATACCGAGCAGTTCTAGCCTGGGTATCGTTTGCTTAGCCTTTTTTGGGGCGAGTTTAGTTTTTCCGCTTATCAAGGATGTAATCTGATTTGTGGAATCGTCTCTTAGGTAGGCACACGTTGCTGTTGCCATCATACTCGCGTCAGCGAAAATCCACAAACTAAGAGTTTCTGGTGGGAGATGCTGTTCGCTAGGTAAAATGTATCTTGGAATTGAGACAACAGTATCGTTGACATTCTGGCATGCGGAATTCCATTTCTTCATCAGATTCATCGAAAGCCTGCTGTTCCAGTCGGAGACTTCATCGAATATTTCCCTCATGAGAGATTTCAGTTTTATGAGTAGAGGTGCAGTTAGACCGATGGGATCATAAATTGAGTTTAGTTGGCTCACGATATCTCTTTTTGTTAGATTAAGTTTTTGAGGGAAGTTCAGTTTGACCATGAACTTGTCTTCGTTTGTGTTGTAGGTGACACCAAGAAACCTTATGATCCCACCTGGAATTTTATCGTTTTGAGGAATGCATTGATTGAAATTCTCATTGTTAGATACAAATTCTCGCAGGTTCATCCCTATCTCTGCGAAAAGTGTTTTTGCCTCTCGATACTTGCGCAAAGCTTCTCGTGTGGAATTTGCGTGAAGTAGGATGTTGTCGACGTATAAGTTCTTAGCTATCTCGTTTGCGAGTTTGCTATTGTTTGCTTTGAGATAGGTCATTAGTGCCATGTTCAATATGCTTGGAGATGCAGTTATGCCGAACGGCAGTCTATTGAAGCGATACTCTACGATATTGTCTTTTGTTGGAGGATTTTCAGGATTTTTCACCCAAAGGAACCTGCAGAAATCTTTGTGAGATGGGTGAAGTCGTATTTGGGTGAATGCTGCTTCGATATCGCATAGTACGATATCTTTGCTCATACGGCTCGAAATCAAGATATCGTGGATTTTTCTTATAAAGGATTCACCTTTGAACATCACGTCATTGAGTGATAGTTCTCCCTTCTTTTTCGAAGAAGCATCAAATACAACACGTAATGGTTTGGGTTTGTGAGGACGCCATACGCCTGAATGTGGCATATAGTATGTACCTGCACATTCTCTAACATCTGACGTTACTTGTTCGATGATGCCGTCTTTTACATAATCGGCAATGGTTTTGCAATACCACTCTTTCTGCGTGTTGTTTGTGGCTAGTTGTTTGTGCAGGGAAAACAGCCTTTTTAGAGCGACAGGATAATTGTCTGTTAGGCGTTTATGGTTCTCCTTCAATGGGAAAGGTGCTGTGATATACCCGTTTGCGAATGATATTTGCTTTGAGTAAGTTTCTAGATAACTAAACGCCTTTTCGTTTTTGGACGTTTCGCCTGATGAAATACCCAAACCTTCAGGCTCGAACAGGTTCTCGAGCATTTCAGCTTCTTTCGTGGTAGTCACAGCTGTCATATTGTAGGTGACAAGAGTGGGATCTGAATTTTCGAGCATTCCTCTTCCGTATAGCAATGGTCCGAACACAGTTTTTGCAAGTTTCAGGCCAGATGGAGTTGTGGTATTCACATTCGCGTCAAGGATGAAGCTATGGTAGTGGTCTCAACCGACCAGAATATCTGGATTTTGATGTTCTCCTCGCAGCTTCGAGTTCGATAGGCAGATCTCATTATTCTGCAGAAACTGCCTGTCGTTGGTTGTCAGTTTTACCGAGGGAAAACCGTTGGTAAGGATCGGCTTGGTTTGGACTAAGATTTCTAAATCTTTCCCGTATGCTGTGCCTACCTTGATAGCGACTATGCTTGTTTGGAAAGTTTCCGTATGCCCGCCGATTCCGGACATTACGCACGTTTCCGTACGCATTGTAGGCAGACCTAGTCTGGTGGCAAGGTCCTCCTTTATGACCATTCTCTGCGCGCCAGTATCGAAAAAGAAGAGGACTTTTTCGAATTTTCCGGTATTTCTATTCAATATGTTGCCCTCTGCTGTCATTAGTATAACTTGTTCTTTGGGTGATTTGGAATTGTCCTCGATTTCAGCGTTGAGGTGATTTGTAGGTTGAAATCGTAGTGCTGACGCTCTTAAGCGTGCGTCACTGGAGAAATTATTTTGTGGTTGAGAATAGTTTCTTCGTTCATTTGAGTTAGCGTTGTGATTGCCGCGATTTTGAGCGATGTTTGTGTTCGATTTGCATGTGAAGCATACGGAGGAGTGGTGTTTGCGACTGCAAAGGGGGCAGTCGGGTTTCTGACACTGAGTGCTGGTATGCGTGCTGGAAAAGCATTTCCAGCAGAGCCCCTTTTCGAGAGTAGTTTGCGACGTTCGTTTATGTCGGTAATTGTTCGACACTTGACTGATAAATGTCCTGAGTTTGCACAGAACGCGCATTTCTGAATCGACTTTGGAGGAAAGGACGACGGTGTGGTTTCTTCATGTCTGCTGCCATGCTGACGGCTTTCGCTTTGATAGTGAGTGTTTTTTGGTACGTATTTCATTCTTGATTCTACGTAAACTTTGGCTGAGATTTCGTTTTCGATTTGTGCCATGAGATCTTCAATCTGTACCTCATCCCTGTCCTTGAGGGATATGAGGACATTTTTTACGATTTCGTGTGGGAACTTTTGCAAAATGTTTTCTGTCCACATTGCATCCTTGGTCTTACGAATATCCTGACCCGCTGATAGCATTTGGTTAATCAGCATAGAGATTTTGTCGAATACGTATGTGCAGCTATCTGCGCTGCTATTTGCGGGTCTCAGGAATGCTAGGCGTTGTACGATCCTTGCTCTGTTTGTAGGCTTATTGCCGCACTTCTTTTGCAGCGTGTCGATCATCCAGTTATAATTTTGTGGAATTAATTGGATGCCTTTTATAGCATTGCCCGATTTGCCTTTGAGGCTGTCTCTCAGGTACATCATTTTTTCCACTGTGGATAGGTTCTTGTTATTGTGTATTAATGTCTCGAAAATTGCCCAAAATTCGGAGAAGTCTTCTTCCACTCCGAAGAATTTGGGTAATGTTAGCGTTGGTGTTTTGACGTTGTTGTTTGTTTGCGCATCGTTACGCTGGCTACTTGCGCTGGCGCTGCTATCTTCTGATAGCCATTCTGACCCCTGACTGGTAATCATTGGGGTGTCATCAATCACTTGTTCCTGAGAATTTTTTCTTTGTATCTCATCTGCTTCCATGCTTTTGAACATATCTGGACGGTTATCCAGTGAAATTTTTCGCATCAGCCTGTTTTTTGCGCTTTTGGCCTCAGTCATGCGTGACTCCAGCATGAAGACCATCTCTGTTGCTTTTCCTAAGACCTCATTGAAGTTGGTCTCCCTTTCTATCTCCTCGATAGCGTTGTTCAAGTTTTTCTTTTCGTCTTTTGTGCTCGTGCTATAGTACTCTTTGAACTGATTTAGGAGGCTTTTTAGATCCTCTTTGGCTTTGTTTAGTTGGTCAATCCCCCCACTTATGAGGTCGATGGCCGCTTGGGCTTCATCGAGTTGGGATTGTTCGTCTTGCGAGAACGCAATTGGTTCCGCGTATACCTTGAAGTTTGCTGTCAAGGTCGTCAGCGTATGAACGCTGATTGCTATCGGTCTCTTATAGAGAACCGCTTCCATCTTGACTAGGGAAGAGGACGACCGCTAGGAGTCGATTTTTAAGACCACTAGGGATCTTTTTGGGCAGGTTAGACTGCCTATGGTGACTCGTCTACGAGCTTGGCGTAGACGAGGAAACTTACTTTTCTTTTTTCGGCTTTGGCCGATGCACCAAAAATGTCGTATGTGCACGAAGGTGATTAGTGGTAGACTGTTTTATCCTTATCAGACATATTACAAATAGGCGTAGCGTCCAAAACGGACGCGGCGCAAACAACCATTGATATGCCGGGTCGCATTTGCGCCGCAAAATGCGACATGACTCGAGGTATACCAGTGCTTCACCTCTGCTTCGCAGAGGCTCGCACTGGCTCCTCTATCTATATGCATTCCTCTTGCTCGCATGATGTCTCTTTGAAACTCACTATGCGATGCTGACCACCATGAACGAATTATAAATAACTACTCATTTTATGAGCTTTTTCATGTAGGAGCGGTAAATTGGGAAGATAAAGTTTTTGCGTAGAAGATCAAAAGAGAATGTCGGCCAGTTACTGAAGTTATTATTGCCGATTAGTTTTTACAAAAGATACTTTTGTCCCCTACATTTCTGAGCAGAAATCTGCGCAAAAAATTAGATGAAATCTTGACAAATTGATGATCTACGCAAACGCTCCTTTTTGGCGCTGATCTTGCGTAAAAATAGATATTCTGCTCACTTTCTGGACTTAAGCCTATGGTCTGCACATTTACTTGTTAAGCAAATCCACATCTTCGCAAAAAGTACAATCATCGACCCACATTGGTCGGTCAAAAGTCGCGTGGACCCGTTTGACGCCCAGTTTCTGAAGGTTCCAATTATCGGATCGGCGTGTGCTTTTGCAATATTTACCTACATGCTGGTAGGGTGCCATGACCAAAATTTCAGCTCAAGTCCTTGACTACAACACGTCTATGAATTTCGTGACAGACAGATATACACACACACAGACAGACAAACAGACAGACGCCTAGCGCTTTATTGTTAAGTAATGATAAATATATATATATATATATATCAAAATGGGGGACATTAATGGGGAGGGGAGCACTGAGCACCCGGGGAGTGCCACCTCATCTGGAGTTGGCACCGCCCAGTTGGCGTGGGGACTGTCGAACCATCTAATTAGTCTGCGTCTCGACATGTCCATTCCATATTAAAGCTCGTCCCGAGCTTTCATCTTTGATCATGGCTTGGAAGTAGGAAACCATTGTCGTCATCGAACTGCCCATTACCATTTGTTTCATTATTGCTTCGTTTGAGGGCAAGAAGGCGTTGTTGATACAATTATCGTCATCAAAACTGCCCATGTAGCATTTGTCGTCGCTGCTTCGGTTGAACGCAGGGTATGTGTTGTTCATCGCCAGGTGTTGGCTTCGTTGCTGGATTGCTCTTCGCGAATAAGTGGACAAGGGGAAAGGGCTTAAAGAAACGCACGACTTTCGCACGCCCTGTCAAAAGAAAGAGCTCGTCCCGAGCTGAGGATCAAGCGAAGCAAAATAAGCTTGAAAACTGTATCTATCAAACTGTGTGCAAGTGAGGCTTCGCGACTGTTGAGAGAGGCGGATGAATGCAGATGATATCAGTACTTCGTAAATGGGTGGGCTCTATCCGAAGTGAAACGGAGTGCTTGGAATGAGGATAAAACAACATGGTAGGAGTGGCATAGCTGAAAAGTCGAATTGGAGTGTATATAGAAGTTTTGCTGTGTGGCGATGGGGTTTATAATGAAGAATTACATACTATATATTAAGGGCAGACAACCATTTCAAATGAAACAGATTTGCTAACGTGACAGAATGTTCAAAATTTTGACGTTTTGAAGACTTGTCGTAACAACACTCAAGATTGAAAAAAAACCAAGGGCAAGCATGAAATTTTGGGGAAACTATCATGTGGGCAGCTCGAGAGGAAACACTTCCCTAACGCTGCCCACAAGGGCGTGAAGGAAATTTTGAATACTGAAAGACTTCTCCGAGCCGCCAATCGAAGAAGCCATCTTCAACAGAACAGTTCTTGACTAGATATTTTACCATTCTATTATATATGCATGAAATGGGGGACATTAATGGGGAGGGGACCACCGAGCACCCGGGAAGTGCCAGCTCATCTGAAGTTGCTGGGTACCGCCCAGTTGGCGTGGGGACTGTCGGGCCATCTAATTAGTCTGCGTTTCGACAACTTGCATGGCGAAGAAGCAGAACATGACTGAATTCAGATGCCCATTTGCTATGAGGCGGCATCTATGTGTCACATTCTTTTTGGATGCGAACTGAAGAAGTACATTGCGTTCTGATGGTTGACTGCTGTCAGTTGTTATCCGCGAAATTGAGTTGCTCCTAATGGATGCTCCTTTACATATTCCCATTTCTTAAATTCTGGACCATTTCTGATTTGCTGAGTATTCCAAAAATCATCTGGATACCGTTCATCTGGCAGTTGCTACCTATGCTGACAACATTTACGGTTTGGAAGGCTATCTGGTATTCTACCGCGTTTCTGCCAACTAATGGTCACGGCTGCTGGACGCACTTCAAAAGATGTAAGTTTTTTTAACATCATTTAGAGATAACGTTGCAGTGTTTTCCAGAAACTGATACAATTATCTACTCTAGCCGTCCGTAAATGCTTATGTTTTTGGTACTGCTCTGCTGATAGACATCCTCGCCACTCATAGCATGTAAGTTCTGGTGTCAGTCAAAAACTTGTCAACAGTTTGCTTTAATTACAGGTTATAGAATGCAGCTTATTATTGCTTTAGTGTGGTAAGGTGGCACTCAGACGTACAAATAGAACATTCTGTTAACACCGGTGCATTCGGAACGGTTGCTCAGCGATGCGAACCCGCTGCGTCAATAATTTTTCCGTATAAATGACAAGTTACTTGCTTTATAGCTTCAAAGAATCTTGTAAAGTCGCAGGGCTTCTTTAATACTTCTATTGTTGTCTAATGTCTATCTAGTCCTTCTTAGTCGATTTGTATGTGTTTATTTGGTGTTTCAATGGTTTTACTATGTTCTGATTGTTTCGTGTCGGGACCACGCGATCGAGCGCGCATGCACATCTTCTCGGGCCGCTATATAAGGCGGCTGCGCTTGGCTCAAATTAGTGTCGGCAGTGCTACGAGGAGTGCGGTCGGGTCACTTCGAGGAGCCAAGCCGAGGAGACGTGGACGCAACGATCGCCTGGAGGATTGTTCTTCAATAAAGGATTGCATCATACCCCTGGACACTACGCCGAGCCCCCGCAATAGCGCCTACCCTGAGGCCTCCTATTGTGCGTTATATAGGAGCCGAACCGAAAGAAGAAATCCTCCGCCGGAAAAACCGTGAAAACGGTTAAGGCGAGTATCCTGCCTGAAGAGAGGCAGGATACTCGCCCTTGATAGGATATTTCCCTTGCGAAAGACTCGGTGTTCACCACATCGAGCTATTTCGTTCGTGGAAGCGCAGAAGCGTGGCAGTTTACACCGCCAGCTTCAACCCTAGGGGGAGGAGCGTGTGCGTGTGCACTGGACAGTGCACCTTCTGTGTCAGGGAAATATACGAGACGCGAGTTATCACTTACACGCAGAGGCCCTACATTGAATAGAGGCGGAGCAAATGTGCGTGTACGTTTGTGGATAAACTGCTAGAGTTTACACTCGCAGAGATCTCGTTTGTGTCGTGCATTGGCAAAGCACAGGACTTTACTTCAGATAGCCGTTATGCCTGAGCATATCCAGGATATGGATAGTGATAAGCTCCTCGTAAGGAACATGACGCAGTCGAGACGTCATCAATCTCTGAGCAAGGCAGCGTCAAGCCCTTCAGCATGCAGCACCCGGTCGCAGTGTAGGAGTGGAGACCCTGATACTCTTACTATGGCTCAGATGTTCGCCGCTTTGACTCTCCCAGACGTGGAAACTTTTACAGACCCTCTGGGGAAAGGAGGGAAGAGTTTGTGATGAGATTCAGGATGAAATACAGCGGCTTGAGGTTGCAGGAATATATGCTGATGCACTTGTTCTTTCGAAATTGGGGGGACACCCAAGAACGGTAGCAGAAGCGCTACCAAAGAGGATCAGGGAAGGCACACTAGAGGCGTTAGTTGAAGCAATGCAGAGCCAGCTCAGTGTCTACGACTCCGCAATCCAGATGAAGGCCTACATGGAGCTTAAAAGCTTGAGGATGGAAGAAGATTTAGCCTCGTACTTAGTGGACTTAGAGAAACTAACGCAAAGAGCTTACCCAGACGCGTCAGAAAAGGAGCTGTCAAGGACTAGAGCGGCAGAGCTAGTTTCCCAACTAACCGAATGGCCTGAGTACTTGCAGTTTTTCTCAGCAATGGAAAGCGCACCTAAGCAGCTGGCCTATGAAATTGTGAAAGCAATGGCACAGCAATGTGAGCGCAGCAAGGAGGTGGCCATGATGGTCGATTTACAAGCAGAAGCAGCTACGCCGCAGTTGGACGCTGGAACACGCGCCAGTAAAGACGCAACATCAGGCACAAGTGTAGAGTCGGCTGGTCCTTCAGATGCTTCTGTAACATCTTGGAAGAGGCAAATACGGTGCTGCAACTGTAATGAACTGGGACATTACAGCAGTGAGTGTGGCAAGCCAAAAGCCTCAAGACCAGCGAGAATACCCAAAGAAGCTGCAAGGAACTACACAACGTACCTGAATAAGTGGAGATGTGACTCGGTAGTTTCATCGGCGATGGAGAGCGAGCTAGTTGGAGAGCAGATGGTAGCAAACGTCCGTTCGCTGGAACTAGTTCGAGAAGCAGTGCTGGACACGGGATCGCAAGTCAGTATCATTCCTTTAGAGATACTCGTAGCGAGCAGAGACAAAGGATTCAATTTGGATGCTGAAGTAGAAGAAGTCCCGATAGACCAGACAGATCCCGTGTGTGATGCCTCAAACAAGCGGATGAAGTTCAAAGGAACAGGTAGACTTACCTTGCAGCTTGGGAATGGCGCTAAGCACAGAATTGCCCTCTT